GGGTTGCTTCCTACCACTTCAGCAGCTCCCACCCACTCAATTTCTTTACAATGCCTCTAAACTGCTTCTCTACTCCCAACTTCAAGATGCAGAAAAAAAAGGTGGGAGTATGAAATCAGTTCAAGTCAGCAGCAAGAAAAGAAGTGGGGGCTTTAGCAGAATGTGGAGTATTAGAAAGCAGTTGGAATTAGCATTTGCAGCAGGTTCTGAGATTAAAAATAGGCTGCAGCCTCCCTCTGTCATCTTCCTCTAGCTTTTTAGCTCTCCCTCTTGTTCTCTTTCGCTTCCTCTCCCTCTCCCTGGGACTCACAGAAGCAAGAGACATTAGAGATGGATGAAACCTGCTAATCCATCTCCCTGCCACTCTAGGTTTGGACTACAGGACCTCTCTCTGTAGGCCAAGGTTTCCTGCAAAATGCAATTTGAATGACTTCTTCCCTCAGTCTAAATGATTGGAAGAGTCTCATTTGCTAAAAGGGATGGGGCCTGCCGTCCAACAGAGCATTTGAGCTTGTAACCAAGGAGATTAATCACTCCTCTTTTGGCTTAACTGCTTTAACAGCTTGGGGCTAACTCTCATGGACATTGAACAGAGATAACTATACAGCACTTTTATGGCCAAATATTCATTCAAAGGAGTAGGTTTGGGAGGGGTCATGTGTGCCACAGTCTCCATTCCTGAAGGGTAGAATAGTCTTCTGGACTATGCATTATTCTCTATTTTGCTGATAGTGGCATCTAAAGGCCACATCTACACATGTGATTTACTGAGGAGTAGACTAGTTAGCTCCACAGTAAAGCATCATTGTCTACATGTGCGGTGCAATTAAGCTGCAGTAAACTAATCAACTCCCCTGTAGGATAGTAGTCTGGGACAAGTACTATGCTACAGCAGAGTAGTTACGTTTGGCGAAACACACATGTAGACAGTGACAGGGCTGGCTGGGGCAGGAGGGCTGGCTAGCCCCACACTATATAGCACCCTTGTGTCCCAGCCATCCCCTCTGCAGCACACTGAGCTGGGGTGGAGCGCCCCAGGCAGACAGGCTGGCCCCTTGCCAGCGAGGGATTCTCTAACCCAGCTCAAGTGCTACAGTCGCAGGTGCAATACATTCCGGTGCAAACTGCACCAGTGTTTATTGTTACATGCTAATTACACATGTAAATACACCCAAAGATGTAAAGTGTAATATATGTCTGATGTAAAGCGTAATACACAACATTAGGATTCAAGAAAGCATTGCTGAGAGTTTCGTGACAGTCACATGTGTTGATACCCATATTTAGAGGGATAACTGAGTAGCCAGGACAGCAACTCATGTTATATGTATCAGGAAATTATTTTCTTCTGCCCTTTTACAGTATTGCACAATGATTTAGCTCAGCAGATGGCTAGTCAACCTCTCAATGATCAGGTACTGACTACTGATGGAAGCAGGATACTAGACTTAATGAACTAGGTATGTTCATCCAACATGGCAAATCCAGGAGAAAAAAAATCTTTCTACTATCAAACTGTGGAAGAGCTTCCAATAGGAAACTGAAAAGATCTCATTCTTTAAAAAATTTAGCATTAGACAAAACAGTGAAAAAATATGCTTTAGGGATTACCCACTTTATACTAACAGGGAGAGAAATGGTACAAGAAAGCAGCCTGTGCCATGTAACCCTGCACCTGTTGTGTATTAAGCAATTTGAACAAGTGCTTGCAAGTTTTTTAAATTTTGCCCAACCTGAACCAAGTGCTAGGAAAGTAACTCAGAATCACTCTGCACTGACTGCTGATTTAGTCTCTTATTCTTTGTTAGAGCAGCTGAGCAGTTAGCTGTGCTGCTCAGTCCTGGGAAGCCTTGTGTGGAGGTGCAATCTCTCATTAGCACCTCATTTCTTGTGCACACTCTTTGTGGAGCCACATTTTTTAATAGTAACATACTATTTTCCCCTCTTTGTGTCTTTCTGGTGATTAGAAAAATGCCTGCTAAGTCACTTGCAAAGGTGTTAGGCAAGAAGTAGGCATGGCCTGGTTAGTTAAAGGCATCTCAGAGATTTCTCACAGCAGAAAACAGCTGGCAATTTAAGCAGGGAAATGGCCCAAACCCTCCTGATCAAACCTTGTGCAACTAATAATACTGTCTCCTACTAACTCTCTGCGAAGATTTGAGAGTGCTATGAAATATTAATGTATTTGCCTATTAATACTTATATGAGGGATTTATTTAGAGAGATGGAAGCTTTTCTTTGGGAGCAGCCTCCTGTCTCCACAGATATAAATTAAGCACTGTGTAAACTAACAGCTCCACATAACTCTGTCCCAGGCTGCCAAAGGATTTAAGTTGGTGAAGAAGTTAAAGATTGGAAAGAATAATCCCATTGATCACCTGCACTCTATATTTGTTCTCACCCGTGCAGAAGCTGAGGCACTAAGAGCAGAACATGGCACTTCATGCCCTGAGTCGCACCTGCTACAACGTTGTTGGACCCAGTGTCATCATAAGAGGACGTAGTAACAAATCCTTACATTTCTGGCACTGGATGTGTCGATCTTGTAGTTTCCCCTCTGGTTTGCTGTCTCCTTGTTGTGGCACAGTAACACAGGGTTCCAGTTTTCCTGGAGTACAAGGTGGCCCTTTCACTCAGCCAGAAGGTCATCTTAAAGGGTAAATAGAGAAGCTGGAAGACCACAAATGATCCATTGGCTTTTCCAGGACACAAAAGTCCTTCAGCTCACTTGATGCAGGGATACTCCTGCAGCCCTGCCTGGCTCTCACTTGACTCCTAACAGTTCCAGGTTTTTCGATAGCAGGCATTGCTTGACCTCGACAGACTAAGGATGTTCGTGCTACTTTCTCTCTGGTCCGCCCACACCTTTCACTCCCCATTAAAACATGGCTGAAATAACCAATTATCCTCCCAAGCCATCTGCTTCCTTCACCTTCCCTGGACTAAGCAGTGTAGTTTGTCCTTGTGATTCTGGCAAGTGACAGGGGCTTCCCATCCTCTCTGAAAGCTCCAGCCGTGGGCCCCACAACACAAAGCTGGCACTCTGTTTCCTTCTGATGCTCAACTCCTTTACATGCAGTCTCCTTCTGCACTTGGTGCAACTCTGTCTCCTTAAGTTTGCTCACAGCCCCTTCCTATGCAGCTCTGTTAATGGAGAATTTCATTCCAGACCTTTTCTCTTTCCTTATGCTCTCACACTCTTTCCTACGGGGCCTTGCAATATTCTGAATTATCAAGGGTCCTCTGAGGACTACATCTGCCAAAATCCCTTTGACCCCAACTGAACTGAGACTGGGCCATGGCTGATTCATAACCTTTCTTAAAGAGACAGTACATACGCTCTTACTGTTTTATATCAGTACAGGATTTGGCCTTAAGACATAAGTCCAAATTCACACAAGTCTGTGATGGAGTTGAGAAAAGATCTTAGATATGTTGACTCTTGGGCCTCTACTTAAAGTACGGGACTAGTAATTCTCAAAATAGGGTATGCATATAGATATGCAGCAAAGTTCCAGCAGGTACTCACGATGAAGAAGGAAAGGGAAAGCAGAAGATGGGGAAAGAGGAAATACAGATGGAGGAAAAGGAAAAAATAGGAACTACACAGTATCTTTTTGGTCACTGGCAAGATCGTAGTGTGGTTATGGTAGCAGAAAGTGTCACTGGTATCCATGACATGGAACTACAAGGGTGCATACCCTATAATACAGTTAAGAAGGGGTATGTGCCCCCCCCCCCAAGTTTTGAGAAGTACTGCACTGGACCTTTCAAGATTTGGTCCTGTTCCCATGGCAAACCCCCACCTTGACTTCAGTGGGAGCTGGATTAAGCCCTCACAGCTGTAAACACTAGACTCAGAATCCTTAGCTCTCTGAGAAATACAGTATTTACCCAAGCATGAACCAGTGACACAGTGGTATTTACCAGAGAGTATGTGGATCACAGTGATTATTTTCTTGGAATTGGATTTAGAAGCAGTAGTTGAACCAGGGTCCCATCCTGCTATTACAGTCGTCTGTCTCAGGTATTGGGAATGTAAAGAAGAAGAAGAAACTCTGCTGGTAGCTCTAGCTGAGAGGTCAATGCAGAGCACAGAGAATGCCATTGGACTTTTGCAGAATTTCATAGGGATGGGAGACATTATCTTTGGCAACAAGTTCCATCCTGAAAGCAGAAACTTTCCATCTTGGTGATGCTGTGCAGTTAATGGTTTAGTTTTGCAGGAGTCACTGAGAGCATGTCTGTGTGTGCTGGGGGTTCTCTTAGGGCCAGAAGGAGGCGGCGATTCAGCCTGCTAAAATGAGTGGCCTGTGTCAGCTTTGCTTATTGTAAAGCAATAACAAAGCAAGGCTGGAATTTAAATTCAATATAACTTGGTTCCTGATTTTTTTTTATTACTGAATTTGTAATGCATGCACTTCTGTAGCAGTCACCACCATATTGTCTGGACATTAAATGCAGGATAGCCTAGGGTTATTCTGAGTACAGTTAAGGCACCAGATCATTTCCTGAAAGCTGATATTGGGGAAGCAAAGCCAGAGCACTATGAAGGGAAGCCAGGCTGCCTTGCCAAAGGTCAGCTAGTCAGTCAAAGACAATGCTGGCAGCTAGCTTCCTGCCATACCAGAGAGCCCTGTGTTTTGAATCCTCCAAGCCCAGAGAATGCCAAACAGCCATGAAACCTGGGCTATTCCAGCTGGGCTTTAGCTTCCTAGAGTTAGCTGTTCTCCAGGTGTGACCTTAGCTTACCCCGGCCTTTGTTTCTCTGAAGGAATCAGCCTCTCCTGAGATCTTTGGGCACCAGGGTACATTTTGCCAAAAGTTGCATGTTTTTAGCATTTCTGTAACTGCAGCCACAAACAGAAGGCGGCTATGGAATAGGAGTTTAAAAGTGAGGGACTTTGGATGTAGCTTCCCTTTGTCAGAGAAGACTAACATCCCAGCTCTGCTGTTTCAGCACCATTGCCTTCATTGGGTTTTTACTGTTTTTCCCACAGGAACATTTGTGTCTGCCTTCACAGTGCTGTGCGGAGCCCGGACTGACCTCCCTGACAGACACATGTGCTGTGTCTTCTGGTTGAACATTGCTGCAGCTCTCATTCAGATCCTGACGGCTATCGTGATGGTTGGCTGGATCATGAGTATATTTTGGGGGATGGACATGGTCATTCTTGCTAGTAAGTAGTGTATGATACTTCCCCCTTCCCCACCTCATTCATTTCTGGCTATATTGTTTGAACTCAGATGTGGCCCCTGCAACTACCAGAACTCAGCACTTGAAACAAGGAAAGTGGGAACTCCACCAGGTAGCTTTCATTGAATAACAAAGTGAAATGATACAGAAGAGGTATCTCAGCCGTACCACAGAAAGATTAGTTCTACCTCTCCTCAGTCCCCTCCCAGAACATCAAGCTGTTCACAGCCCCAGAAACAGCTGCATGTTGCTGCTAAAGCTGTCAGCCCCAAACTGTGCAAAGTTAACCAGTACATTGTTATTATGCTTCAGAACCAGCTGTGCTGTGATCACCGGGAATGGTTTGGAGCTGTCATTTTACTCTCTGTGAAGGCTAAGTAAGACCATAGGATACTAATTCACACCTGGAAAGTTTTCTACGCAGCCACAACGACTAGAAATTTCATATGCTTTTTTTTTAATTAATGAGGCCACTAGGGAAGTGGTAGTACTAAGCAGTGACCTCACACTGCTCAATCCTGCTATTGCTTTCCAATGGCTCCTTGCCTGATGTTGCAGCAGTTTGGGTTTGAGCAGAGGCAATTATTTTGGTTGGAGGGCTGCTTAATGAGTTTTGGTGAGCTGTGGAGGGCCGCAAGGGTAGCCCCACCCCTTGATGGAAGTCCCGCCCCTTAATCCCTGATTTTTGCCACCAGAAGTCCCTCCCTTTACCCCCAATAGTACTGCTTTTGGGAAAGGGGTTTGCCATCTTGGAACTGGAAAAAAACCAAATTATCTACTAAAAATCAAACATCCATAATAACATATATTAATTTTTTAAAAATATTTTTGTCCTGATTTGTGTGTGTTTATGTTGTGTATATAGAGACGATTGCATAATAGCTCAAAATGAAGTGTTACTCTTGTATATTGTGGGGATGTGGAGGGGTGGGTAGGTGGGTGGGTATAGGGTTTGTGGGGGCCTGTGGGTGTGTGTGTGTGGATGTGGGGTGTGAGGGAGGGTGTGTGTGGGTGGATAGGAGTTTTTTTGGGGGTGGTTGTGGGGATGTGTGGGTGGGTCTGGGGGTTGTGGGAGGCTGTGGGGTGCATGGAGGGGGAGGGTGGCTGGGGTGTGTGGGGGTGTGCATGGGGGGTGTGGGGGTGTGTGTGGTGGGGTGTGTGTGCATAGCAGTAAGCAGGGCTCCCCCCAAATGCACATGGTAGTGTGTGTGGGGGGTGCAAATGGGGAGGGCTGTGGGGGACAATGTGGGGTGAGTGCAGCATTTGTGGGCTGTGTGATTGTGTGTAGTGGAGGGTGTGGTTGTGGGCTTTGTGAGGGAGGGTTTGAGGGTATGGTGGGGTGTGCATGGGAGCCCCCCATGCACACCCCCCTGAGCCAGTCAGCAGCTGCCCCAGCCCAACAACCCAGAGCCCGCGTGCCCTGTGGCACCTCCCCGCTACCGCCAACAGCACGCAGCCCTAGCTCTGTCCCACGCCTGCTCTGGACTCACCCTGGCAGGAGCAGTTCAGCCAGAACCCGCGTGCACATCCCCAACACAGCCTGCTCCGCACCACCCGCCCGTGCCACTTCCTGCCGCCCCCTGGATACACACCTGGGCTGGGGCTACTCTGCAGCTGAACTGCCTTTCTAGGCAGCCCAGGAGGCAGCAGCTTTTTCCAGCTGCTGCTACTGCTGGCCCCAGCCCTGGGGTATCAGCAGAGACCCATGCAAACAGCCCCAACCTGACCCACCCAGTGCCTGCTCCAGACTTGCCCAGGCTCAGCAGCAGCAGCATTGGTAGCTGCCAGGCAGAAACTGCTGCTTGGGGTGGGGGAAAAGTGGCCCC